AATGAAATAAGTCTAAATACGGGCTATTTGGCACGCTTATAATTTTTTACCAATTATAGGTAGCACGTTGTTTGACATTTCAATCGAAAGGAAATTTTATCGTGCATTCAGAATGTATTTTCCATTTCGAAATACATTTTGTCAAAATTAATAAAATTGACCCTAATCTAACAGTGATTTTTCTGCATGTATGTGAGTTTTGGCTTGAAATTTTGTTACTTTGGTACAAAATATACTGCCAATATTTGATGTTCATAAAGAGTTTTTTATAAGCGTTGTGTTGATATTCGAATTACTATTGTGGCTGCCATATACCCAATTTCATATTTAAATATTTAATTGTGTATCATTGTGTCGGGTGAACAACTTCGATAAGCGGCCATAACGCACTGATTACGCAGCTACGCAAAAGCCGATCACGTGACTACCGTCATGAAGATGTTGATAAGTACGTTCGAAACGTATTGCGTGGCAAAATGCGCAAGATAACTTTCACGACGACGTTCTCAGCGGGACATCGGTCGCCGAGTTTCGATATGATATTAACCCTGTATGGATTGAAGTACCGACGTCGAGTAATGCGTGCAGTAATAGCGAAGTGAAGGGAAGTTAATATCGCCATATAAAATTTCACGTGGAAAATGTTTTATCCGCCCATCAGTATTTGTTCAAATATCAACCAAAATAAGTACTTGCCTGCTCTGCAGATCAAAATATCTGATTGTACGAATGTTAGGCGAAGCAAGTGGATGGATCAATATCTGAGAGAACTAATAATGCAGAAAGAGCAACTCTTATTCCAACAATCAATCAATCAATCAATCATTTATTTCGGTACTCTGACATAAAAACAAAACAACACAAAAACTGGACAAACAAACAAAATGCAGACATACCTGGAAGGCGAGCATAACTTAGAATGAAGTTTAAAAACGTAAAAGTACGCGCCCGCCCACCAAAAAAAAAAATATTATTATCACAAGAATATAAAAAACACGATTCAGAATCGGGCAATGCTTTAAGGGTTCAGTGGACAACTTACACAAAATATAACAAAATTTAGGTAGATGATTTAAATGTAATAGACTTCTGACGACCTCTTCCGTCCAATTATGGTAATCACCAGACTTTACCCCACATATCATATATATAAATGAAGTTGATTTTGAATATTTGAATGCAGCAAACTCTGGGGCTGGAATTCTAGATTGTGTATTTCTAAATAGGTAAATAGCTGTAGGAAACATCTTGCTTTTAAATACATAAAAAAATTACCAATAATTTATCAAATGTACAAACCAGATAAAAAAAAAATGCATACATGAAAGGCAGCATGAAGATTTGAACATTGGAAATAAAGTGTAAATTTGCAAAATCACTAAAAAAAAAATCCAAATTGATTTCATAGATGTATTTCTTTGATAAGTTTGCTAACAAATATTGAACACAGAAAATTTCAATAAGAGTGCTATGCAAGGGGGGGTCATGCTCCTTATAGTTATGAAATAGGGCCTTAAAAATATGTTAGCCATCATAGGATGATCGAAAAGCACAAAAATAAAGTGATATAGTAGCCTACAGACAGGCCTGAAATAGCTGCAAATACAAGGATCGAACAAAGCATGACTAGTAGTGAACACAGCAAAAAAGATTAGGGCAGTGTGTCTGGAAAAAATACAAAATAGCTATATACATTGGAACCATTTGCCAAAACAATATTCATACAACTACCAATACTGGTAAGCAACATTAAGATGTAAAAGAATTTATTAAAACAGTAAAAGCAGCTTTGAGCGAAAATAAATAAGTTAAATATTAATAAAAGAAAATAAGAATAATAAGAAAAGTTAAATAATGCTTGTGTCCTATGTGCCACATAATCCAAGTAAAGTGGTTGAAAATGTGATTAAAAATATATAAATTATTGGCAGTAAAAAGAAAAAAAAATACCACCAAATAATATCTACTAAGTAAGGATATAGCTCATAATAAAAAAAGAAATGAGTTATATTCATTTGAAATATTAGTGAGCAATATGTATGCATTGCCTAATTGTAAAACATTGTTCAGTGCTAGGTGGGACATCACTTGTTTGAAATCAAGAAATCCAACATGAATACTTGAGCCTTTGAAATAAGATGACTTTTGTGGCACGCGTGCAATTGAAGAATTTGTGATTGTCTTTAAAATTGTAACCCCATGCCAGCAAAGAGCTGCATATAGTACACCCCCTTTAACTTCGATATTGGATATGCTGAAGTGTTGATTTATTTTATGCCATTCTCATTGTTTTGGACAATGCTGCAAGGTACGGTATCGTACCGGTATGATATTATCCCCTTTCCAGCTTTCTGCAGTTCTGTTGTTTTCTAACCTCCAGATTCCAAAAACTTCCATACAATTATAACCAAATGATGTTGTCCATAATGTGCAATGTCCTACTGCAACAATCAATTTCAAATTTTCAGTACTTGTAGATGGAAGAAGTCGCCAGAAGGCTATTTTTATCCTAGGAACTCTACACGGCCCGATTATAATTTAATCGGGACGGGCATAAATATCTTAATTATACCTTAATCAAATAGCGAATAATCCGTTGACGTTGAACACAAGCTGGCCCATACAATGACACCAAGAAAAGATCATATGCGTCGCCAGAACTAGATACCCTATCACAAAACGCCAGTTCTAATAATAGATGCGTCGTATGCAGCAAAATTCACATTATTGCCAAAAAACCAATCCAGCTGCTAAAGACAAAGCGTTGCTGAAACGATGCGAGACAGTATATAAGTACAAATACTGTAATGAGTACCTATGTATAGGTAACGAAACCAACAACCATGGGTATAACTGGCACAACAAAGTGCAATATTGGATTTAGAATGTGTCTTTTATCTGCATAATATTTTCATGTTCTTCATTGTTCCGGGCACAACAAAGTGCAATATTCAATTTAAAATTTTTAGCAAGCAGTCTTTTATGTACATACATTTTTCATGGTCTTTATTGTTCCGTTATTTGCTAATAAAATCACAATCTTGTTCATATTGCGTATACGTAACCACAACTTAATGGGGCTTGAGCGGGCAGTCAAAGTCAAAGCGTAGTGCGAATTTTGAATGCGTAGTGTTATGAGAATTATGTTCAGTTATTCCTGTTGCAGTGTGCTACACTTTGTTTATATTCCGTCATTATTACATTATCGTTCTTTGTGTTGTGATCACTGATTATCGTCAAGCGACAACGGACTGCATTTGCCTTACTGCATTAGTTACGTGCCGTTACGAGTATTAGACGGTAGTCCGATTAAGTTTGGCTATACATAGCGACTCAATGTAATTATGTTGCATGTTCTTGTGTTTAGGTTAAGATGCGTTTTTAGTTTCTTAAAGCCATAATTTTGGTTATAATAAATAAACTGTCATAACACGTAGCATCGGGTTAATTAATTACTTCCTGCGGACATTTAAATAATAACATCTCGACGTAACGTCATTGCGGATATCGTCACGTTTAGTTGCATTTGCGTAATATACGTAAAGTTGTGCGTGACGAGACGTAGCCTCTCTTCAATGAGAACATCATTTTGACGCAGCGTCGCTGTTAAATCTACAGATAATCTAATATATTTGGCCATAAAATTTGAATGGCTCATCGTAAAATCGTTTTGGATACGTATATCAAAAGCTATCCAAATTCTCAACATATATTGCCGATTGAATATGTGGCTATTTAGGCAAGAAGTCGAAATTCTTTATATTAAATACTTGTTATCATACAATATTTTCATACGCACTTTCAAATTGCCAATTTTACTGAAACATCGTATATTAGAGCACCGATATTTACAATATAATTAGTCCCAATAACAAGCTTTCATGCAATCTAAAATTTATTTAAATACTCATTGTGGTTCTTGAGATACGAGATCATAAAGTTGATTCCTTCCGACACGAAAAACAAGCCGGTAAACCGGCTTGCCGGGGCACAGAGCGTACTCAAACAAGCCGGTAAACCGGCTTGCCGGGTTCAAGCGGTTAAATGGCATCGATTTGTTAATGTTGAGTCAGATTTTTTAAAAGCTGTTATGAATCATTTATAACCAAAAAGTCTATGATGACTTTGTATAAGCTTAGCACGTATTTTTAGGGACCAATATTTCTGGCCCAGTAATGTTTTCAAAAATGTGAACATTTTACTCTGCCATGCACTATGGGATCAAAATTGTAAACAAGCGAAGAAGCAATCTTCAATTACTTTGTAGGGTGCACGTTGGGTTGTTTACGACTTGCTGTGCTTATTATCGTGACTATTATTATATTCGCTCCTATTCAAAGCTTATATGATATGTAGTAATAACGTGGGTGTGGTACCATCGAAATTGTCAAGTGAAGCGCGGAATTTGCAAATTCCATGAAAACAATTGTTCGGAAAGGATTATGGTTATGACATTGTTTTGTTGTAGAATAACACAAGAAAAAAATAATAATAAAACGAAATATTTAAAATTAATTTATATTTGTCATAATTAGTGCTTAACCCTCTACTAGACACAATAACACTCAAGTTATTCACAACGACACTCAGGGTTGTTTTCGTCATATTTAAAAAATACTAGATACGTGCTCCTTAGCGCCATCACGCTGAATAGAACTTACGCAGAAGCATACGCATCTGAAGAGCCATGAGTCACGTTTTAGGGAACAACAAAAGTTCTGAAAATTTCTACATTGATTATACAAATGCGCATCGGGTGGATTTATAGATTAAAATAAGTAAGATACCGGTGATTTTGATGATTATTTTGGTATGCAATTCTGTAAACTGTTATCGTACATTGTCATTAGCAGGAATTCTGGTAAGACATATAGTTACTTCAGACTTGAGTAATTAATTGCCTCTTTACGTCCATTTATGTGAAAAGGAATTAAATATTCAGAAATTGACTATTGGAATGGATATCTTGCATGTATGTTATACTATGTACAAAAAATATCGTTGTCTTTTAACACATTTGGAAGCTCTGGGCGCATATGTCTATATTATATTTCATTACGTTTAGTAGTCAACAATCTAAGGACAACTCGGACAAAATAGCTCAACAAAACTTGAAATATTTTTGCTTTTCAGAACGACTTTTTCACCAAAATTTCCCTCCGTATTCACCTTTTGAAGCCCGAACTACCAATACACGTTGAGAAAATATCAATGCAACGACCGAATCCTTGGTGTGATGGTATTGAATCCATAATTACAGAATCGTTCAACATAGCAGAGAACTACATTCTTCATCTACACCCGTCAAAATATGGGAAACAACTGTATACAACACTACGTGAAAACGACATTCGTTTGCATGACACAACCTACGGCGCCGGGGCTAGGGCTGCGCTAGTCGGCACACAAGACTTGATCTTTTTTAAATCTGAAGTGGCATTGGCTCACAACAGAACTACTCAAAAGCCTTTAAATCTTTTCAAATCGATGCAAAAGCTTCGTAAGCCTGAAATGTTACCTGGTCTCTGACTGGCATGAAGTGCAGAATTGTAATACGTCGGGTGTTGGATCGAATTTGAGCAAAATATTCTGCTGGAGATGACAGAAAAAACCTTTAGATGTAGTTACTCTTATCGCAATAAAATAGTAATAATTATGAACAATTTTTACATGTAAGCGCTAGCTAATTGAAAGTATATATATCACTGTCACGTTCATTCCGCATTCTGACTATTTCTTCTAAGTATAGTCAACGCAAAAATACAAAGTAAAAATAGTCATCAAAAACTTCATTCATAAGCACTGCTTTGAATCATAACTGTCAAACTAAATAGCAAAATTTTCATATGCATGTGGAATTCAATTATATATATCTTTTCTCTAAATATAATTCTGTGTTTAATTACCGTTTTTATCGAAATATCATATTTGATAAAAATGTATAACAACAAAATCTTTTTTGTCTGCCACCCGAAAATTTCACTTGGTAATAAAATCTTAAACTAGGATTAGATTTCAGAAATTAATTTATATATATATATCCTTTTACGGAATGAGTCAAAAAATATTCAATGACGAAAAGCACGAGTTGTATTACAATAAGTGTATAATGCAATTAATTCATATGAAATATTAATATTTAATCAACCTATACTTCAAGCATTAATCTTGTGTATGCTTCGTTTTGAAAATAAAAAATTTTCAACTTTTTTTGTGTTTGTTTATCACAGTGTTGGCTAAAACTTCAATTCCAGCCATTATTTCTTCGCTAGTAGGTTTGATCTGATCAGCTGGAAGTTCGAAGTAAAAAGGTCCCCACTGATCTCTGAGTTCCAAAGTATAACTTAACTCAATTTCGGCTTTTTCATACGCCCAGTCGCTCGTGCTCCCTGAGAATACATCTAAATGAAGAAGATATTCTTATTCAACACATTTTGTCTCACCTTAACTACCCCCGGGTCCTATAAAATCTAAAACATCTGAGAAACTTTTACTCACACATTGTTACAGATCCACGACCGTGCTCATATGTTGATCCGTGAACGCTTTCTATCGCCAGTTTCATTTTGAATGCTGTATCGTTCTATAATTCATACAAAAATATAGTTATATAAGAGAATAAAATATTCAAACAAATCAGATTCTTAATAAAGGGAAATATGAAATTTTTGTAGATTAGTTCTTATTTTGGGGAAATTACATTGGCAATACTGACGTAGTTCTACGTAGAATTGAATACTACTGATTCAGTATAAATTAAATGAGAATACAAAAACAAGTCAAAAATCATAAATGTATCTCCATTAATTGATGAGCACAGCGTATTGATCAACAGATATCCCTAATAACATAAGAGATCTTCAACTAAGTTATCAATTAGACCTTGAAATCATTGCCTATCTCGAAGTAAATGTAACATATTCCAAATAAATTTGAGTTTAACAGAAACGAAGTATTCCGATTTTACAATGTCAGAACGTTTCATATAATAAACCAATCAAATTTCCATGAACATCCAAGATAACAAAGTTTCGTCCTCAAGAGTAGTTTGTAACAATATAATCTATAATGCACAAAAATATGATTTATAAATATATCTACTTGCCATAATTAACATTTTATTTTATTGTTCTACATTTAAAATTACTTACAAGTTCTTTTTCTGTCCGTGGAATCAATGTTAGATTGTGATTATAAGGGTATAATATCTGTTGACCATAGTTATGGAACGACACAAGAGCCTTGATTTTTGATTTTTCTCTTCGAACAAAATTTGCCAGATGATGTATTACAGGTTCTGATTCTGCATGAGGTCCATGATAAACAATTGAGCATGGTTTGTCGCTTGCGCCTAGGCCTGTTGAAATGAGATATTAAAATTAAATATATAGAGAGGCAAATTAAAGTTACTACCGCATTGAATGTGCAGAAATAACATATTACAGATATTGCGACAACTTAGTACAGTTTTTCATGACATAGAAGCTAAAATTAAATTTTTCGTCGCGTCAATTTCAAATATTATATGGCTTGTGCTCAATTTGTTACAAATTACAATGTTCGGGAAAGATAAACTTAAAATCATATTCAAAATACTGTCATATAACAATAAACACTTACTTTGAAAAATATGGAATAAGTGGATGGTGCTGAAGAGAAAGAAGCTAACTGAAACATACTTTTTCAATATGATAAAGACCCTTATATAAAATATATTATAAAAGTCAACGGAGTGGTATAGAGGTGAATTTGAAAAACTAAAAACTAATTACTCGCGATTTGATTTACAATGATTTTATATCAATTTCCATTGAATTCTAGTATAAAAGATCATCATTGTTGAATTTTTGCGAAATAAATTGGTTCTGAACATTCTTCAGTTTAGATCAAGTGTTCAAGTGTTAAACAAAGAAGATACCTTTAAAATTGACATCCCAGTTTCTGTTCGCATCTGCCCCATAACAAGTTTCGCCAGTTTCATTATCTATGTAAGGTGTTCGAGTTTTTCTCCACAATCGTGCCTAAAAGTATAACATGACATTGAACTGTATTAAAAATAAAGACTGAAAGAGCATTGGACTATCACAAAAAGGGTCTAGTGGCAACGTTCCGATTATGCCTCTGCGGAATGGTTTATAATTTTGTTGTTATGGCAACTTTCTTTTTTAATTCCTGTAGAAAAAATTCTCAAGAAATACGAAAATTAAAACAAAAAACTCACATCAGTCCATGAATATGAATACCCATCTACGTTTACGACAGGAACAAAATAAAAATCCAAATTTTCCAGGAGACTTGAATACGATGCATTGGATAGAACCTAGTTAAAATTAGAGAAGTATTGTTTATGGAAGGCGGAATATGGAAAAAACTGTTATACTTGTGTTGTAGGGATCCTTTTAAAATGCCAATTCCCATGATAATTCGGAAATCCTTAATCCTATATTTACTCTTATAATTTTACCTGGTTGCAAACGAACATTAGTGTTGCTGATGAAATCCATTCTCGAGCATGGGTAGTTGCATCCATATAAAATACCGGATTGTTGTTATTAAAATTTTTTGCCACGTACAGACCATGCACTGGTCTACCTTCTGTCGAACTTCCAATCTTAAATTTTTCAACAAATGTATATTTGGCTGCCATAAGATCCATCCATTGTTCAATCTGCCAAACAATCGTTCAAATCTTATTCGTAATTAATAGCATTATATACGAAATTAAGGTTCAATGTGAATTAATAAATTGCGATTCATATAAGCATATTGGTATTACTCAGACATATACTGGTACTTGAGTCGATTGGTGCATCAATGGACTCAAACTTTTCACGAAGCAAGATTCTTGTTGGTTTTATTCCTGTTATCGTTGTTAATGTAAAAAAAATCGCCCTTTTTATACTTCTCCAGTCATTTATTTTGAAACTTGTGAGTTCGTCGCCGTAGGGTGGTTCAAGTAACCGCTGGTCGGTTAAGGCTTCCCCCACCATCAAGTCCATGCTTCCGAAAACAAATAACTAAGCTCATATTCGACAAGAAATGGTATCCGGACGAAAAGCAGTGGTTAAGCCGTCTTTTCTCTCCCGTGGTGAAAATATCTATTCTATCCCATCCGAAGAAAGATGGTACAGAGCATACCTATATGATACTCGTACACGCTAATAACCAAAACATCAACTATTCATCACCGAATATGACCTATTATGAATCCCATTCAATTCTCAATTCTGTACGTTATTCGCCAAGACTTGTTCCTAGCAACAATTGACTAAAGTCGAGGATATGTTTAAAAAATTACCTCGTTTAACGGATGATAAACAGTATAATTAAATTCAGGAAGTTTCTCGATGGATCTCTTTTTTCTTCTTTTATTCCTGAGGTCCTCGAAATCAAGTTTAGTTTTCACGTCATGAACAATAACACGGTGAGACAATCCAACCGAATTAATAAGATATTGAACTTTATTCAAATTGTCTTTGGAAACATGAAGGTCGAAGGTATCATGGTTGGCTAAAGTGCGATGTCGTTCGATCTAAATATAGTTGTATTATACCTTTTAAGAACTTTTGAAAACTGCAGAAATTATCCGGCACCTAGTCATCATTAAATGGTTTGATTTGAATTTAATTTGAACATCTTTGGCATCAGAATTTTTTCGATTTCAATAAATATCGAAAGATTGCCATCACACCATAGTAAGTAAATGCAAGACTGTTAGGAAGTACTCCCAAGCTTTCAAACTGCATAATTAATTATACCTAAAAATTTATTAATAAACACCATTCAGGGAATGTCAATTATTATCAATACCAACGATTAAAATACTACCTCTATATCTGGATGCAGAGATAAGTCATTCATAAGTTTAATATCGTATGCTGTATCAGCCTTTACTCTCCATACTTGATTTCTAAACATAAACGTATTTTTGATTCGCCAAGAGTTTAAAAAAGTTGATGGTCCGGAATTTTGGAAATATTGACTTTTTCGATACATTTTTCGCTAGCACATGACTCAAATCTCAAAAAAGGATCATTGACTTATATTCGATAATAGTTTTGTACATTAAATGTCGTAGGTTTCCTCAACTAGAATAAAAAAATTCGGATAAAAAATTTGAATTCATAAAAGCAAAAAATGACATAAATATCGATATGGACCGACTTCTCATTTCAAAGTTAAAGCAACCTTGTTGTAGTCAATTTCAACCAACTTCAGATAAGGATAATTTCCTACAGAATGAGTGCACCTATTAACGTACATTTCATCCTATTCATCAATAGTATAATTACTTACATACCGTGAATTTCCATTCATGTAAACGTTTAACTTACCCCTTGTATATATCATGAAGACAGATGCATCCGGTTACGAATTGCAGTAGAACAAATTTTGTTGACAAGTTTATATCGAACATATTTGACTCTATACACATTAATCTCCTAGTAGTGTCCTAGATTTGAATCAAACAACTAAATATATAAACCTGCGTTGTTGTTGTTGTTATAAATGCATTGATAAAGAGAAAAATCCTAAAATAACTTTGAAAACTGACTGCCAATACAAGTAACCTTACATGTTTCTCATTAAACATAATTACGGTGTATCATATAAACACATCACGTTTATGAATGAAAAACGATATAGAAAATTTTTTAAAGCGATTTTTCGATATAACATCATAATTCAACCTTCTACTACACTCCTACATTGGAAAATTATATATAAATAAATCAGCGATATCATGCTATAAAATTCAAAACAAGTTTAATAATCATATATTTTTCTTATTAGCAATATTATTGATAATTATTATGAGCATACACAATGTGAATGGAAAACACATTTTTGCTCGTGTCACTTTTATACTACGCGCAAGTCGGAATGTATACAGCTCTAGTACTCACGAAATTTAAGTTTCTCACCAGGATAATAATAGGAAATGTGATTTCCCGTGATTCGTCACGAACGCCAGTTTCCAGTGCAATATAGGAAATATTCAGATCAAACTACTTCAAGAATTAAGCATCCTATCATCACCTTTTTAACTCAGGCCATAAATGAGTTTCTCACATGTCCACTTGATTATGTATCGTACTCGGCCTGACAATCGTTTCATCGCCATCATTAATCAATAAAATGTCAGTTTACTGAAAATTATCGGAACCGATTAGGCATATTTTCCAATTAAAATTATTTATGTGAATGAAGTCATTCTAATAACATTGGTGTTTTTGTAGACACTAATGAACAAAACCAAGTGAATAAATATGTATTTGAACACTATACTGATTTTGTGATTTATTCTACACATTTCATAAAAGGTGGTTGTTATATGTAGTATGATGTCATAACGCTTTCGAATGACTAAGCAAATGCCTCGCGAACTCACCGGATAATACTACTTAATGTCAAATACAATAAAGTATGACGCAACAAATAGGCAATTGACCTTTATCTTGAGCTATTGCCCAAAACACAGTGCAAACGGTTCGTAAGGCATTTTCGTTTTCGAGCAAGATTGGAACTAAAAAAATGTCCTCAATTTTGGGTCAAATTGGTAATTTTCCTATACGAGGGGGACGGTTTTGTTATTTGATTGCTTATAAGAATACTTACATTCTAATTTTACTTTTCATGGCTACTATCAACGTCATTAAACTTATTTTAAATTGCGTTCTTATATTGTTGGGATTGTTATGTCGGGATTTGTGAATACGACAAACATATCTAGCTCATAATGCGAGATATTTTGGCTTCTGTGCAGTGTAATTTTCATGGTATTACCTGAATGATAGATACATAATTCCAGGTAATATGAGACGTTTAACAAATTAGTTTCCTTGCTATAAATACAAAAAAATATTATACTATATGTAAATTAACCATACAATCAATCATTCAAACTCTGTGGTATAATATAATGTCGTCATATTATCAATTGTTCTTGTTAAAACTACCACGCATGTGTTTTATATTTATTTATTCTAGGTAATGAATAAAATTTTGTATTATTTAAAGTCTTTCAGTTCGTTGTGTTAATGAAGTTCTTGTTTATTACGTGCACATACTTTGATAACATAATATAAACAATCTGTCCCTATGTGTACAGGTAATTAAAAATTGTGTCTCATATGCAATCTTTTAATCAAAGGTCTAGTTTACGTATATAAAACATGGGTTATATGATTGGCGATTCTGACTCTCTTTCGCAGCTTTTGAAATTTCGCGAAAGAGAGCCAGAGTGATAGGAAAGTTGATTGAAAGTTGATTGTGACTAAATTCTCAAAACTGACTGTGGCGTCCACCCGCGTACTCCAACTTAGTGTACTTAAAGAACCTGTGCAGTGCGCTTCCACAATCATAAGTCCAGCAATCATACACCCCTGTTAACTGATCTAAGTAGATCAAGTTACAATCGTGCAACATTTTATTTCTAAATGGGTATGCTTCAGAGTTCAGAAAACTTTGTAATCGCAAACCATTGCATAACAAAAGTATGAATAAAATACGATAAACACAATATACAAGTATCGTCGTTCAAAAATATGAATAACATAATAAGTCACAAAACATGGAAAATACCTATTTCAGTATTTATCGATTCAGGTAAATTGATAATGCAAAAAAAAAGTCTCTAAAATGAAATGATTTAGTCAACTCATATTCATTTGCGCATTTTAAATCGGATCCAAAATCTCCACGTTTCTATCAATGTTTGTAAAATGGACTTCTTGAATTATATTTCACACAGTTTAACGTGAGATACCAATGCATCAACTCCCCTATTGTCGTTTCCTTAGCACGCCATCGGAATGGAATAATATCAGATATATCACGACGAAATTGGAAATAGTTGTCCTGATCGGCAAGGAAACAAAAAAGAATAAAACTGTACTTAATTGGAACCATAAAGTACACCGGTCGAAGGTCCGACCTCTCATAATCCTAATAAACAAAATGTTTCGTTTTAGATCTATTTTGGAAAGTAAACCGGGTAGTTGGCATAGTCCATCGGAAGAGAAATATGGTAAGGTAAATGTTTTGAGGAATTCACTAGAATTGATTTGGGTTGAGCGACACTTCTACTCGATGTTTGGGTTTCTGAATTTCGTATCAAGTGGGCAGATTTAGATATCGTTCTACTATTTGCCGAAGATAATCCATACGATTTGCTACAAGATCTTTGGAGCTTCGGGTCTGCAGATTTTGGCCTATTATATCTTCCCATGGTCGCAGATTGCTTTGTGTAATCATGCGGAACCAACATTCGTGGGGACTTCTTGGGGCGACGATCCATCGTTGCTGTCTGTCTCTGGGTTGTTTTTCTTTCATTTTTATGAGTTGTTCGTTCTGTCATTGCGTTAGGTTTTATAGAAAGGGTTTGAAGACTGGGTAGTGTATTGTAATGAGTCGGTGGACAATATGCAGGTGGGTTGTCGTCCATTTTGGGAAATGGAAATGGCATCTGCTGATTTCTAGTGAGCTTTTCAAGCGCTTTAGCATCTTTTTGCTCCAAAGTTTCCTTTTCAGTTTTCATTCTCTGTTCTTCTGCTTCGCGATTCTTATCCTTCTTCTTCTTGGACATCCGTGCGTGGCAAATAGCCACTGTGCAGGCCAGAACTAAACTCCCTATCATAAGACTAACAATCATAGGCGCAGATTCCATCATATTTCAGATTTACCTGCGTCCAAGCTAAGATTAATATTCTGTAATATAAGATAAATATTGATAATTTATAATCGAAATTTGTGTTCTTCAAATTTGTTCAAGTCAAGTCAGTTTCACTTTTAAAATACTACTTTTATTATAAATCAAGCTAAGTTGATATATCTTTAACTTTTCATTTTGTTACCAATTTTGTTAGTGAGCATACCATTTCAACTCGGATATTTCAATTTCCAACACTGATCCTACAATAAGTATTGCATCGTTCAAAATCAAGATTTAATTTTGCAAATGATCTCATTAATGAAGCACGTACCAATTTATTCATAAATACCTTCGAAATAGGTAAAACATCCATTTGAGGAAGATGGAGCATCTAAGCTAAAATTTGGCAGTTTAAAAATGCATGTATACGGTTTGTTGATTCGTGTCATTGGGCAATATAAAAAACTCCGACTGTACACGAAATTACTAACCCATCAACCAAATATGACCATGCTGCTGTTTATTAAAGATTGTTGAACAATTATCTGTAAGCAGCTGATTCATAAGATTACCTTGAACGATATCCTACGCAGTCGTTTTAGATATAATCGTTTACATCAGCATCGGAGGAAGATGCCGCTACGATACCGGTCTTAACTTTAATTCTGAAGTTTCATTTTATAACAGGAATATAAATCTAACTTTTTGGTCTGTCAGTGCTCCATCTTACTCACGAACTTCCTGGCTATATGACAACATTATCTTTCCATCCGGTATCCGTAACTTCGCATGATCTATTTCCCAGGAACAATATTAATAAATCTGACAAAAATTTCCACGGATACGTACCTCGGCGTCATAATTAACAAGATCGCACGCCCGTTGCATGGAACTGTAGTCAATTATCTAGATAATTATCCTCTTTCAGAGCCATTACACTCTCAGAACAATAGCAAAGATAAATAAGCTCATAAATCGGATCACAATCGTTAAGTGGGAGATCCCAATTACTGAATTCTTTTGTTTTTACTGTATAGATTGGGCGTGGTTGATTTATATTGTATTAACGTATTCGTATCCAAGCATGAACAAATATCGTATATTTAAAGTAAATGGGCGTAGTCTTAATTATTACCTCTACCCTCATACTGTGGTGAACGTTTTTGGGTTCTCACTATTATGAACACTAAAATATAATATTTGAATTCATAATCTGTCAATGAAAAATATATTTTCTTCCTTGTATTTTTTTGGCAGTTTTTTTGAGCATTTCGATCTCTCTTAAGCGTACCGGAAGTTACTCATAACTTGAATTTGATAAGAATGGCCAATTGGAATCACTCTGAATGGTTCTGAGTAAACCACCGTAAAGATGCAATTCCATTCTATGTTGAGTGTAAAGAGGCGCTAAATAATAGCTAATGATAAATACCTGACTAAGTTCAGGTCAATTTCACGGGTAAGTATGCATTCAATCAATAGATGACTACAAGTAGTCTGAGTACGATCGAGAAATCCTATCCTAAAATTAAATCAATCCTTGCTGCGGATCTCTCGGCTGGGACCCCGTAAAACGAGCTAAGCGCATTTTCACCGTTTCGCATCAAAAAACGAATATTGAGTAATATATTATTATATGTTTAATTATGGAATTTGGAGGAATAACGTATGTTTGGAGCTATTGCATCATTGTAATATATATAGGTACCGTGCGATGGAATTTTATGTATTACCGTACATTTCAAACTGTATCACAAGTTTTGAAATACATTTAAAGGAATATAACTTGATCATCTAGAAAGCCTTATATTATTTCTGCTGTCACTTTCAATAAAGCCTGGGAACATTACAGTCAGATGGGTTGAGACAATACCTGGAAAGTAAAATGACAAAAAAACAGGGTGCATTGCGGATTCGCGTTGGTGCTAATACCACAAAGATACTTTGAGCATTGATTTTCCGGCTATTAGGAAACCGTTGAGATTCGTTGGCAATGTAGACTACAGTTTGCTTGTTCGTTAATATCTCAGAAAACATTCTCTGCAGATTGCAACCGCCCCCATCACATCTGATTTGGACCACACCAACACCGTCGGAAAATATTTTTGCCGCTCTTCTCATATTCTAGTCTAGCCCAGGGTATTACACCACACTACAGGGGCGTGAAAACTTATCCATATCAGAAACACAAACAAGTAAATGACTAAATACAAATAATATAAGCACAGCAAGTATAAACATCATATTGAATACCGCAATGCAACGAAATTGCAGATCAAACAAATTAAATTCGTTTATTACTCCAGATCCACGAGGTCCTTTGGCAGAAAGGGAAATGCGGTTCGTATCA